ATGAGAAGTAACAAGATTAAACCCATAATTAAAAGTCTTCCAACAAAGAAAAATCCAGAACCAAATGGCTTTAGTGATGAATTCTACAGAATGTTTAAAGAAGAATTAACTTTTTTTCTCAAACTCTTCCAAAAATTGAAGGAGATAGAATTCTTCCAAACTCATCTTATGAGATCAGTACAACACTTATATGAAAATGATCCCAGGGCTGACCACCAGCCTCTCACAGAGGTGTCTTATGTTAATCTACCTACCATCGCCCTGAGCAACACAGATTCTCCTCTGCGCTATGTGGACATCGCCATCCCATGCAACAACAAGGGAGCTCATTTGGTGGGTCTGATGTGGTGGATGCTGGCCAGAGAAGTGCTGTGCATGCGTGGCACCATCTCCCGTGAACACCCGTGGGAGGTCATGCTTGATCTCTACTTCTACAGAGATCCTGAAGAGATTGAAAAGGAGGAGCAGGCTGCAGCTAAAAAAGGTTGTGACCAAGGAAGAATTTCAGGGTGAATGGACTGCTCCAACTCCTGAGTTTACTGCTACTCAGCCTGAGGTCACAGACTGGTCTGAAGGTGTGCAGGTGCCCTCTGTGCCCATCCAGCAGTTCCCTACTGAAGACTGGAGTGCTCAGCCTGCCACCGAAGACTGGTCTGCAGCCCCCACTGCTCAGTCCACTGAATGGGTGGGGACAACCCTTGATTCCACAGACTCTTATACAAAGTGGAAATAAGGTTGATAAGGAAAATAAACAGTTTATTTAAAAAAAAAAAGAATGAAAAAAGATAACAGACAAGAAAAACAAAAGGAATACTACAGGTGAATATCCCTGATGAAAATGTTAATAGATACAAAAATTCTCATAAAAAATCAGCAAACAAAATCCAACAGCACATTGGAAAGATGACATGCCATGGCCAAGAGGGATTCCTCCTAGAGATGTAATGATGGTGCAACACACACAAATCAATGAGGATGATACATCACATCAACATAAAGAAGGGCAAAAACTGAACTCTGTATCATCTCAATAGATGCAGAAAAAGCATTTGCTAAAATTCAACATTCTTTCCTGATAAAAACTCTTTACAAATTAGGAAAAGAACTATACCTCAACACAATAAAAACCACTCATTATAGGCTTGTAGCTAATATACTGAATGAAAAAAAATGAAATTTTTTTCTTTAAGATCTGGAACAAGACAAGGATGTACACTTTCTCATCATAATTTTTCAATATATACTAAAAATTCTACCCAGAACAATGAGGAAAGAGAATATATAATGGGTAACCAATTGGAAAATAGAAAGACAAATCATTCTTATTTGTAGATGCTATTTTTTTTATATAGAAAACATGAAGATTTCACAAAAAAATTTATTAAAACTGATGAATAAACTCAGAAAGCTGCAAGATACAAAATCAACATAGAAACATTAGTGGCACTTCTATACATTAATAATGAACTAATGGAAAAAGAAATTAAGAAAGCAATCCCATTTACAGTAGCTACTAAAAATAATTATGATAATAATAAATATCTAGGAATAAATTAAACCAAAGTGGTGAAAGAACTCTACAAATAAAATTATAAAACATTTATTTTTTAAAAGAAAAGATAGAAGAGGACACACAAAAAATTGAGATATCCCATGATCACTACTTGAAAGAATTAGCATTGTTGAAATGACCATACTACCCAAGGGATCTACAGAGTCAATGCAATCCCTATTAAAATGTCAATGGCATTCTTCACAGAAATAGAAAAAAACAATTCTAAAATTTTACAGATCATAAAGTTCTGAATAGTCAAAACAGTCCTGAGCAAGAAGAACAAACCTGGAGTTATCATACTACCAGACTTCGACACATACTACAAAACTATCGTAGCCAAAGCAGTGGAGCCTAGCACTTAAAAAAAAAAAAAGATTGACAAATGGAATAAAATAGAAAACCTAAAAATAAGTACATGTATATACAGCTGACTGATTTTCAACAAAGTTGCAAAAAATATACAATGAGACAAGAAGGTCTCATTAGTAAATGGTTCTGGGTAAACTAGATATCCATAGTGGGAAAATAAAAATAGAACCCAGCTTTCAACATATACAAGTTCACAATAGATTAGGACTTCAATGTAAAGCATCAACCCATCTACCTACTAGATAAAAACATATAGGAAACAGTTCAGGACACAAGCCTAAGCAAAAAATTTATGAATAAGCCCTTACGAATACAGAAACGAAAGCAAGAAAATATAAAATAGGACTATGTCAAACTAAATCTTCTTTAGTAAAGGAAACAATAACCTGATGAGATAACCTACAGGGTAGTGAAAATAATTGCAAACTGTTTATCCAACAAGGAATTAATATTCAGAATATATACATGGAACTGAAACAAATAAGCAGAAAATAAAACTGAAATAATCTGACATATTTTAATGGGTGCCAAATGGGTGCAGCTGCAGTAGGGATGTGCTGCATAATGCTGAATATCATGTAGGAATGCTCTGGGTTCACTTGCCAGGTGTACCTGTGTACACACTGAGTGTGCCCATGATCCTGACTGCAGAGTCTTGTGCAAGAGGATTACAGCATAAAGATCCTGCCAAGGGGGCCTCTAAGTAAACAGACAAATAAACGTCTTAAAAATGGGCAGATTAATTATAAAGGTTTCCTAGATGAGGGGAACATTAGATTGGTACCTGTATCATAAATAGGAGTAACCCAGATTTGGGAAGGGAGGAGGAGAGAGCATTTTAAGTAGAGGTACTGCTTATAACACGATCCTGAGACAGCAAAGGATATAAGCACGTTTAAAGATTTGAAAGAAAACCATATGATTCATTCTCGGAATTTATGTGCTTACACTTGAAAAAAAGAGTGATAAGAAACAGAAAAGAAAAAAAAAAAACCTGGGGCTATATTCATGGCCTTATAAAATGTATTAAGAACTGTTGTTTTTATTTTAATATCTTTGGATATTTTAATTAAGGAACTAATCTATTTAAATGTATGGCCATGGTTGGTGTATGGAAAATGGAAAATTAAAAGAGAATAAGAAACATAAGAAATAGGTTGTACGTATATATACATTGATGTGTATATAGAGATATAGATAGATATAGATGTGTGTAGATATACATGCTTCAATGTACTATATAAATATATATGAACTAGAGATAAATACACAGCATATTCACAACGTTCATAGAAAATACTTATTATGGAAAAACTATGCATGGATTTCAAAATTGTATGCATTGATATAAACTCATACTACAATTCCATTTTCCATGAAGCTTTTGAGATGGAGACGGAGAGAAAAACAGATAGAGAGAAAAAATGATAGATAGAGATGAGGAGGAGAGAGAGAGAATGATTTAGAATTTGACTCATGCCATGACTGTGGTAGATAGCAAGTCTGAAACTCACAAGGCAGGTGAGCAGATTGAAAATTCTGGTAAGAGCTGATTTTAGTTTTAAAATTTGAATGTAGTCTGGAGGCAGAATTATTTATTTAGGGGGGAACCTCAGTATTTTCTTTTAATATCTTCATCTTATTTTACAAGGCACATTCATATTATGAAGGATCATATGCTTTAGTCAAAGACTACTGCTTTAAATGTTAATTAATCTTAACAACATCTTCACAGCAATACCTGGACTAGCGTTAGATCAAACAAGTGAACGAACATCAAAGTCTAACCTAGTTGATCTATAAAATAACTATCTCAGGAGTACTATCGTATGAGGGCGCTTCAAAAACCTCATGGAAGAGAGTAATTTAACTATGTTTATTTTGGTATAAAACTTTTTTGAAATTCACACATGGTTATTTCATAATACATATTTTCCATGAATGTTTTAAACCCTTACATAAAAGGTGACATCCAGAAATGAAGTGTTGACGTTGAAGATGGGGAGAAGTGGTAGATAAAAATGGGATTCGGCATGTACAAGCTTGTGATGGAATGCATGAGCATGGAAGAGGAAAGATTAAAAAAAACTGCTCTCATGATTCTGAATAAATAAATTGATAGGACTGATGGCATCTCCTATGTCAGGTGACTAAATTCAGAGTGGATTAGAAGACAGAGCAAGAGAAATATTGGGGGTAGTCATCAATACACAGAGATGAATTAAGATGCTCAAGGGGGAAACTATCCAGTTTCCTCAATCTTCCACTGAGTCCCTGAGGCAGCTAGGAAAGTAGTTGATTCTTGAAAAAAAAGTCATCTGACACAGGAAGTCACAAATTAGTCAAGGCATCGAGTCCTTTTCTTCTGTGGAGACCCAAAATAGCCAATGCTGGAGACTGGCCGGAAACACAGATCAGAATTTTAAGTGTTCACAAAAATCCATCCACAGAAGATAACATTATAGCAAGAAATACACGCCCAGCTATTTTGTTACCTAGTCATTCCCTCTGGGACTATATCCTCAATCATAATTCACTCATCATACACATTTCAGACAAACTGCTCTTGAAATTGCATATAGTCATAATGATTTAGAAGCACAATGACCTCAATTTATAGCAAAGAACTATTTTGAAAATAAATATGACTCAAAAAGAATTTTTAACACTAAATATTTAGCTTACATTTTTAACATTTTTAGCTTACAAAGAGTTTCTATATGAACAGGTGTTTTTCATAATTTTTAATGTAATTTAATGTAATAAGACAACTAATAACTATGGGTCTCTGATGTTGAAAATCTACTCATTAAATAAACAAAAAGTACCACCATATCTAATTATATATGTTCAGCTATATGAGGGCATTTCAGTTTGTGGAGAACAGAAATAAAGCATGAGTTTATTTTGGTACAAAACAGTTTTTATTGAAGCTCTTGCATAGTTATAAAGAGTACTCATTTTTCATGAACTTTTCAAAGACCTCTTGAATTTAGAGCACAGACATTCAGTTTCCTTTTATTATTATATGTTTGGGATATTATTATTTAAAAACCTACAAAGAAAATAGTTTTCACTAAGAAAATATTTTTCTACTAAGCTGTCTCTTCACAGCCCCCTTAATCTCCTTATTCCTCAGACTGTAGATGAGGGGATTCAACATGGGGATGACCACTGTGTAGAACACAGACACCACCTTGTTCTGGTCAGTTGAGTAGTTGGACTCAGGCATCACGTAAATGAATGTAACAGTCCCATAGAACAGAGTGACTGCAGTGAGGTGGGAGGTGCAGGTGGAGAAGGCCTTGTAGCTCCCCTCAGTGGAGTTCATCTTCAGGATGGTGATGAGGATGTATGTGTAGGAGACAGCTATGACAATCACTGTAGCCACAATGAGGGAGCCTGCAGAAAATGAGGTCATACCTGTGGGGACACTTGTATCAGAACAAGAGAGTTCTACTAAAGGAGCAAAATCACAGAAGAAATGATTGACTACATTTGGACCACAAAAGGCTAAAGAGAACACACAAACAGTAAAAGAGCAAGCATTGAGAAAACCACCCACATAGGCAACTAGGAGTAGCTGGACACAGACTTGAGTGGACATTTTGACTGAATAAAGCAGCGGGTTGCAAATGGCCACAAAGCGATCATATGCCATGGCAGCCAGAAGAAAGCACTCTGATGCCCCAAAGAAAGCAGCTGCACCAAGCTGGAGGCCACATCCAAGGTAGGAGATTGTATTTCTCTCCGCCAGGAAGTTTACAAGCATATTCGGTGTGACATTACATGTAGACCCTATGTCCGCCAAAGCCAGGTGGGTCAGAAAAAAATACATGGGATGATGGAGCTGAGAGGAGGTTCTGATCAGGATGATTGTGCCAAGATTGCCAAATATGGTCACCAGGTAGATGCACAGGATGATCACGAAGAGGATGAGGCGGAAGACTGGATCGTCTGTTAAGCCCAATAAAACGAACTCTGTCACTGCAGTGTCGTTCCCATTCACCCGGGAATCCATGTGACAATGTAGCTGTTACAAAAGTGAACTGTGATGAAAACAGTACATTTTAAAAGTTATAAATTAGATGGTTTCATTTCTTTAACAAATGCATGAAGGTCATTATAAACAAATGTACAGACCCACAGACCCACAAAGTTTGGACTAAGAATTACTATTTTTTTAAAGAGAGATTTTTGCCTAAGGGCATGTGTGCTTGCCAAAGAGCCATAGAAAGACAGAGAGACAGAAAGGGAGAAATCATCCATTGGGAGGATGGCTATGCTGCAAACCCTTCTCCATTCGCCTCTTGGGATTTTGTGTATGCATGCACATGCACCAGCAGGAGTTTTAAGCCGCCAGGTTCAGAACTCCAACTGTGGTCAACTACGTAATAGTCCAGTGATGTAACCATTATGGCATCTACTGGCCCTAAGAATTATATTTTTAGACTCCCATTGCTTATATATTTACTTATTAGGAACTTTTTCATGTTTTAAAAATTGATTTTAGCAGAAATAGTAGAAAATTGCCTCATATATAGCTTATAAAATATTTTAAATGTTTATTAAATATTAAAAATATTTAACAAAATATACTTAAAACTAAACCATCAAAGAGCACAAAATATTAGAATATTAAAAAAGAAATGGTAAGGATAACAAAGGGATTAAATATACAGTATTAAATATATTGACATAATATATGTAGGGTCATATTATGAAGCCTTGAATAAATGCTTACTATTATTACCTGCACAGGAAAAATAATTTATGTGTATAGTTCTATGTTAATTTCCATGGAAAAATGTTAAGTATTATATGTTTCCTTTTTTTTTTTTTGGAGAGGTTTTTGCTATAGGGCACATGCACTCACCAGACAGACAGAGAGAGGCAGAGAGACAGCGAGAAATCACCCCCCAGGGGGGATGGCCATGCTGCAATCCCTTCTCCTCCATTCTCCTCTCAGGATCTTGGGCACGCACGCACATGCACCCGGCTTGAGTTTTAAACCACCGGGTCCGGGACGCGAACTGCGGTCGACTATGTGGGAGTCCAGTGACATAGCCATTACGTTAACTGCTGGTCCCAACATTTCCTTATATATAGATGAAGAACTAAGCTTAAAAAGGTTATGTAATTTACCTAAGGTTATAAAGCAAGTAACGGGACCATGATTTGCCAGGAAATTTGGAATCATCAATTCCTGTACTAATTGTGCTGTAAGTGAAATTAAATAATACTTACCATGAAGTCTCATATGTATATAGGTTTGGGTAGGCAGCAGATCAGCTTATCAGTGTTCTAACAGGTAATATACAAAAGAGGTGACTGATAGTTTACAACATCTATCAGTTACAGAATTATTATTGAAGAAATATAATTTTCTTGATATCATATGGAAGAAGTAGAAAATTCACAATTGGTTTATGAAGTCACCTATTCTGAATTAATTAATTTTTTATATTTTAAAGAAAATGTCAGTATATAAGAACTTTTAAGTATCAGTGTAAGCACTATGCAAAATGTTATGTGATTAATATTCTGAACACAATTACAGTACATTTATTCAAACATCAAATCATTTCCTAAAGTAATAGCATTTCAAAATTAGAGTATTATAGAATGAAATAATATTCTTTTAAACATGATTTACAGCTGGAAAAAATGTTGCAATATGAAAATTTGAGAAGTTTACCCATCTTTACCCAGCTATGTCCACCTGGACCTTCATCTCCAAGTTTTCTGGCTTTTTATCTTTGACCTTATCCAAATCATCTGGTTGCCTGTAGGACTATAGCATTCAGACCAATCAACAACGTGCATCTATAAGATACTAATGGCAAGTCCTGTAAGCATCTAAAAGCTAGAGAACTTATTAGCAATGTGGTTGAGTGCCACACTTAGATACTGTTAAAAGGCTGTGTAAGATTCTAGTCTTCTGTGCTATTTTATGAGGAATATGGTAAATTGAATTGTAACTATTTTTCTTGCAAAAACTATCATGGAAATTTTGGGGGATTCAGCTTACTAGATGACTGTTGATTACACCTGCCCTGTTTGTCACCTATGGCTTCCGAGAACACATACAACTTTACACATACAACTTGAGAGAATAAAAAATTCTCAAATAGGAAATGAAAATCGAAGTACCAGATTCATTTACCAAAGCCAAAATTTGATATATCTTGAGATCGTAATTCACTCCTTTTATAATAAATTTAAAGTCCTTGTGATTATATAGCATTATTGCTATCTTTTTTTGTTATTTACCTTTGAGGATAAGTCTCTGAAGAGTCTAGAAACTCAAATGTGAATTCAAAAGAACCAGGAATCATTATCACATTCTCAAGTGACTACTCAACAGTTCAATTCACACAAACACAACTAATTTTTAAGGATTCTGTCAATTCTCAAGTGAAGTTTTTTTTTTAATGTAGGTGTTGCTGCACTTTCATTCGATAACTGTTGGGAGTAAAATATATAAACTGTCTCATAGATAAACATTGGTTCCAAATTTACATTTGTATTTCAGATTGAAGAACACTAAATATCAAATATCAGACTATAACCTTCACTTTATTTGTTCAGCATGTGTACATCTTACTTGTATTTTGTAGTACTAGATGAAAAGCATCTTAGGTATCTTGGAGAATACAGAACAAAATAGGAATAGAAGGAACACAACCGAACATAATAAAGGTCATATATGGAAATCCCACAGGTAACATATTGAACAGGGAAATGTTGAAATCTTATTTTTGTCTTCTTCATTTTCTTATTTTTTTCCATTCAATCACTCTATATTGTTTCAGCATACAAAATAAATTTTCCCAGCATGAATACATTATACATTAGTCCAGTCAAAGATATTATCATACACATTATCGTCAACAGATAAATGGATCAAAGATCTAAACATAAAACCTCAAACTATAAAACTACTGGTGGAAAGCACAGTGGAAACTCTTGGAGACATTGTAATAAAGACATCTTAAGGGGGGACCAGCAGTTAGCATAATGGCTATGTCACTGGACTCCCATGTAGTCAACCGTGGTTCGAGTCCTGAACCCAGTGGCTTAAACTCACTCTGGGCGCGTATGCGTGCATACCCAAGATCCCAAGAGGAGAATGGAGGAGAAGGGATTGCAGTGTGGCCATCCCCCCTGGGGGGTGATTTCTCACTTTCTATCTCTCTGTCTCTCTCTGTCTGTCTGGCGAGCGCACGTGCCCTCTAGCAAAAAAAGAAAAAAAAAGATGTCTTAAATAAGACTCTCAAAGCACTGGCAATACCAGAAATAGACAAATAGGATTATATCAGGAAATCATTTTCTCTAAGAACTGAAACAAACAAGGATGTCCACTTTAGCCTCTCTTATTTAAACAAATACTATAAACTCTAGAGCAACTACCCAAGAGAAAGAAATATAGAAAACCAAACTGATGGGCATAGTGGTTAAGGTGCTGGATTCCCACATGACTGACCATGGTTTGGGTCCCTGACCCAGCAGCTTCTTAAACTCACTCCGGGTGCATGTGCGTGCATGCCCAAAATTCCAAGAGGAGAATGGAGGAGAAGGGATTGCGGTGTGACCATCTCCCTGGGGGTGATTTCTTCCTTTCTGTCTCTCTGTCTCTGTCTTTCTGGCAAGCACATGTGCCCTATAGAAAAAAATTCTCAAAAAAAAAAAAAAAGTAATCATCAGAGAGAAAAAAAAAAAAAAAAACCTAGAACTAACTGTGTTGTCTACAGAAAACCCACTAAAATATAAAGATACATATAAACTAAAAGTAAGTATAACCACAGTCAGAATGGCTAAGATTTAAGAAACAAAAAATGATTAAGTGCTGGCTGGGATGTAGTGAAAGGGGAACTGTCCTACACTGCTAGTGGGAATATAAACTGGTCCAGTCACAGTGGAGAACAATGTGGAGATTCGTCAAAGATCTACAAATAGAACTACCATATGATCCAGCAATCCCACTCTTCGGTATCTAACCAAAGAATGGGTATCCCACTCTTTGGTATCAACCCAAGAACAGTACTTAGTCAGAAAATTGCTTGCACATCTATGTTTATTGCAGCATTATTCACAATCGCTAAGACATGGAACCAACCCAAATGTTCACATGTTCATGAACAGAAAAATGGATCGAAAAAGTGTGGCACCTATACTCTACGGAATACTACTCAGCCATTAAAAAAAAAAAAAAAACCAAGACCCTGGCTTTTGACAGAAAGGGGATGAATATGGAAAATTTACTGCTGAATGAAGCAAGCAAGGCTATGAAGGAGAGACATTTTATGTCTCCACTTAATATATACTGTCTGCACTCTATAGTCAAAATTGAATGACTAGAGGATATAGAAACATAAAAAATAGTTAAAGATACCAGACACAGTGTGGAAAGTGGGTGGGAGAAAGAGGAGAGTCTGAGAAAAGACATTAAGGAGAAAAATAGGGAGACAAGACATTTATGGAACAAAGAAATGGGTTATTATCTGTTGATGATAATGTGTATAGTATCCCTAACTGGTCTGGTGAGAAAGTATTCATATTGGAACATTCACTTTATAAGCTAAGTGACATATGTAATTGAATGTATGAAAGAAATTAAAATTAAATTAAATTTAAAAATTAGTTAGCTACTCTTCAGGCTAACAAAAAATAAATTAAAAAAAGGAAGTCCATACATGGCTAATATCAGAAATGGAGACATTACTACAGATACCACAGATATTAAAAAATAATAATAACAAGGAATACTATATAAACTCTATGCCCACAAATTTGATAAATCAGATAAAATGGACCAATTTCTTGAAAGATGCAAACTGCAAAAATTCACATAAGAAGAAATACACAAGGTGAACAGGCTTGTATCTATTTTATTTTTGTTTTGCTTTATTTTGTATTCAAATGAACAAAAAGTCAAAATTTTGTTTTATTTTCTTACTGGCTAGAAAAACATTATGGCCAAAGATAGTAATGATATTAAAAGATTCCTTTGTGTTTTTCAATAGGCAAATATATTTTTTCGAGGGCCAGCAGATGATGTAGTGGGTACATCTCTGACTCCCAAATGGTCAACTACTTTGAGTCTTAGACCTGGTGGCTTGAAAATCACACTGGAGACATGTGTGTGCATGCTCAAGATCCCAGGAGGAGAATCAAGAAGGGATTGTGATGAGGCCATCCCCCCAGTGGGTGATTTCTCACCAAGACCCCATTGAGGGCTCCTGCTTATTTGTCTTTCTCTCTGTCTCTCTTGCTCATGGATGAAATAAATAAACTGAAATTTTTTTTTTGGAGGGGTTTTCGCTATAGGGCGCGTGCGCTCACCAGACAGAGAGAGACATAGAGACAGAAAGCGAGAAATCACTCCCCAGGGGGGATGGTCACGCCACAATCCCTTCTCCTCCATTCTCCTCTCGGGATCTTGGGCACACATGCACATGCGCCTGGCGTGAGTTTTAAGCCACCAGGTCTGGGACACGAACCGTGGTTGACTACGTGGGAGTCCCGGGACATAGCCATTACGCTAACTAACTGCTGGTTCCCAATGTGATGTCATCTTAAGAGTCCATGTCAACTACTTTTTTGAAAATTCCCTTTTCTTAGGTGTTTTTCTCAGATGTTGTATATTCGAAGTGCCTGTATCATGAAGAGTTTGCCTAAATTTTGAGCAGTAAACTCCTTGATATTCTGACAGTGTTAATCAGGCTTGTGATGAGTGAACAGCTCATTATGGAAGGAAGCTGGGGTGGTTTGAAAAGCCTGGACAGGTCTTCCATGGGTGGGTGTTTTCCTGGACTCTGTATGTAGTCTCCTGCTGGTGACACCGCTGATACTTATGTTTCCACTGCTGGTATTTAATATTCCTATGTGTTGGGGCCAGTAGATGGCATGGTGGGTAAGGGAGTTGTACTTCTACATGGCCGACCACAATTTGAATCTCAGACCTGGCAGCTTGCTTTCTCATTTTCTCTCTCTCTCTGGTCAAATATAAATAAATAAATAAATTTAAATAAAATTAAGTTCAATAAAATAACTCTTTTAAAAATTCCTGTTATATTTAAATTTCTCTTGCCTCATTTCAGCTACTCGCCCATCAGCAACCATAGATTCTTCCCCAAATCTTGCTGCTAGCAGGACTGAGCAATTCGTGTTTGTCTGCTACAGCTGACTTCTTTTCAAGCTCCTACATTAGGATGTCAATCAGATGTGAATTTTTAATCACAATTAATCCTTTTTCAAACATAGGTTCAAAGGTGACATTTGCCTTTTTCAATGCTTCCTGGGAAAAATATTTCTCTTTATAAACTTGTATCAGTTTAGGAGTCAGTCTGTATGCCTTTAGTGAAAGAGACTGATGGTCAGTTTATAGAATTGTAAATGAGAACAGATTCTTCAATGGCATGTTGGTAACTGAAGTGAGAATTCAGGAGTGCCAGAGCGATGAATGAACCACAGTATGTGAACCAGTACCAGCCCATGTGGAGATGATCAAAGCTTACCCCGTGAAGGTTCCTGCATCATTTCCATCTGATATTGGTCTTCATCAAAGTCAGCATCAGTAGGTTGTAGGAGTGGAAAGCCGCTGGTAATTTCAAGTTGATCTTCTACAACCAACCCCTTAAACAAAGTCAGTTCCTTGTCTTTCTTCTTGATAATGTTTGATTATCTTTAATACCACTGGGGCATATATCTGCACTTGCTTCACAGCTAAATTTCCAGAGCTGCCTTTGCCTTTGCATTTCCCTGTCATGCTGGAGGTAGAGCTCAAAAAAGTAGTGGTAAAGTCAGTGCCTTTCTTGCAGAACACCGTCTCTCCGAACAAACAGGAAGAAAGAGTAAGCTTAAATCTATTGTAAAAGTTGAGCCAATAATTACTAAAATTCCAAAACAGAAAGGATCAGGTCCAAATAAGTTCATTGGTGAATTCTGACATTTCTTAGGAAAGAAGTTATACAAAATGTTCACAATGTCCTTCAAAGGCTAGACACAGAAAATCATTCCTAACTTATTCTACGAGACAAGCATACCCTAATATCAAATCGAACAAAGATATTACAAGAAAAAACCTCAAGCCAATATCTCTAATGAACACTGATGTAAAAATCTCAACAAAACATTAGCAAATATAATTTAAAAAATAATCATATGCTAAGACCAAGTAGGATTCATCTAAAGAATGCAAAACCAGTTTAACATTCAAAAATCAATTAATGTTATCCATCATATCACCAGGCTAAAGAAGAAAAATCAACTGATTATACCCATAGATGCAGGAAAAGAATGTAACAATATCTAACACGCACTTATGATAAAAATTCCTAGTATTAGAAATACAGGAAAATCCCCTAATTTGGTTAAAAAGATGCATAAAAATCTACAGCTAACATCAGATTTTTTTAAAGAATTATTTTTATTTTACTTTATTTATTATTATTATTATTTTCCAGGGTTTTGATCAGAGAGAGACAGAGAGGGAAAGTGAGAAAGCAAGCCACCAGGTCCGGGACTTGAACTGAGATCAGCCATGTGGGAGTCCAGCGCCTTTAACCACCACAGCACTTGCTGGCCCTGAAATCACATTTAATAGTGAAAATTTCAAAGCTTTATCAATAAGTTGAAAAAAATAGGCAAAGATTTCCTCTTCCACCACTTTTTCCAACCTTCAGACTTACGCTGGAGGTCTTCAATAATACAAGACAGGAACAGAAAAGAAAATGAAAGATGGAATGAAGAAGTTAAACTTCCTTTATTCAGGGATTGCATAATAATGTGTACAGAAAATACAAAAATAATTGCCTGTTGCCTAGTGGTTAAGGGGTCCAGATCCCACATGATCAACTATAAGTTTAAATCCTAGCCTGGCAGCTTGAAAAACATACTTGGTGTATCTGTATGCATTCCCAAAATCTCAATAAGATAGAGAAATGGAGGAGAAGGGACTGTGGCATCACCATTCCTCATTAGGGTTGCTTTCTCCCTCTCTGGGTCTTTCTAGGAAGCACACACACTTTCTGACAAAAAAAAAAAAAAAAAAAAAAGAGAGGACAAAGTAATTTACCAAAAAGAATCTTTAGAAAGGAAACAGTAATTATAGCAAAACCGAAGGATATAAGGGTAATATAAAAAATTCAATAGCTTTCCTATATACAAGTAATGAATAAGTAAAATTTGAGATTAAAAAGACAATACTACTTATCTTAGCATCTAAAAATATGATGCACTTAGGTGTAAATTAACAAAATGCATTCTAGACTTTGTCTTTTCTCCTAAGGCCTTCAGCTAATTAGGTAAGGCCCAATTCATATTATGGAGAGTAAATTGGCTTTAGATAATGTCTACTGATTAAGTATTAGTCACATCTTAAAAATACCATCAAAGCAACATCTGGACTGATGTTCTCCAAAACATTTGGGTACCACAGGCACATAGCCTACCCAAGTTGACTAATAAAATCAATGATCACAGGGGTACTACTGTAAAACAAATATTAAAGGTGGCAGTTTGAAATAAAAATGCTGGTGATGAAGATAAAGAGAAGTAGCACATAAATATTTGACTCATAATGTACAAGATTTTTGTAATCGGATGTAGCAGTATGGAGGGTAAAAGAGAAACAATTACTTTTAGGTTTCTGAATCAATCATTTGAATGAATGATGAGATCTCTTACTGCAGGGGAGAAAATTAAAGGGAGAAGAGAGAACAGGGAA